CGCCGGTCTGGCATTTATTTCACGATCAGCTGATTTTTTGCAGACAAAATAATTGAATGTTGCAACATAATCGAATCCAGCAACATTTTGAAGTTAAACGTGATCTGACAATGAGTTTAGTTCAAATGAAAGAGCAATGTTGGATTGAATAAGGCGATCGGAAATCAAATATGGAGATGGAACGCTGTTGATTTGAAATTGTTTGCGCAGTATACTGCTATCTATTACAAGTTTGTAGCGCGTTTTATGAAAATTTGCGCGCGTTTCGCGTAGCAAACTCGCTTCATTTTGTAACCATTTGCCATATGTTTTATGTATATGTCCAGTCTATAAAATTATCTTATGATTGATAATAGTTTTATTATAAGACACTTATTCGCGTCTTTTCGTTGCGAAAAGGGCTCTGTACTATTCTGAAAATATCGTAATTTTAACATCTGGGCAAAATTTTCCAGAAATATAAAGAACAAATAAATGGTCGTCATATGTATGTATATTATAAAATTGCGTTTTCAAATTACTTTAACGACTCGACAAAAATCACCTCTACGTCAGCCCATGATGACGTAACAGATCGGGAAACTAGTCATTTCGTATTTATATTTCTAGCGCAACTGTCCGTATTCTTGTATTTTCAAAATAGCTCGATGACCGCTTTAACATGACTGTTGCGCGCTCTGCAACCAGACAACGGAAGAAGCAATGTTTTGCCTAAAACGGGCATTTCAAGGCACTTTCGTTTTATCATAACTCTAATATAAATTTACCTACGTATTATGATATTTGTCAGACCATCTACACAAACAGCTACGGCTATATTGTGGTTAAAGAGGTAATACCGCTTATTAAATTTATGAATAACTATTTGATGTTTAAATTGATTTTAAAACTTCTAAAGCTATTGCAACTTCTGTTCTCAATAGAATTAAGATTTGCAAACATTTCCGGGTAGCACTTGATGGTGAGTTTATGATTTTATCTATTGTTTTTAAACTTTGATTGTTCTCAGTTACCATATACTATTAACCATACTGGGACATCGGTACCCCCGTAGTGTGTGTACCAGGTTAGGATTAGGCCATAACTTTATTCCGCATTTTCATATGTTAGGTTTCAGTCCCTTTACACAACTCGATGTAAAGTGGGCAAACAAAATTATTACCATATTGGTACACACACTTCTGGGGCACCGTGACATCCGGTTATTACGAAACGTTTTCTGAAATTTTACGTTATTCGGAATTTAGTTTTTGTACGTTGTCCCGAAGCTTTTATCTTACAAACTTAGACCACACCGGTATTTTATCTGCCTATTACTGTATTATATTTCACACAAAAGTACTTTGTAATGCCTTGCTCAACAGGATTTCCTGACTAATGTGCCTATCTTCGAGATGTTTCCTTTTGTATAGGTTGGGCTATAAACCTCGGTCGGACGTGAATGCGAAGTTAGTAAGCTAAGATAACTGGTTATCCAGAAAATGTTCTCGAAAAAAATTTGCTTTTACGTTTGTATTCGCCCCATTTCTAGTTTTGGACTTTCAGTTTTTATCATTGTAAAATAATAAATTAGGTCTAGTTAGCGTTCATTTTTTACGGGGGCTTGCAATTCTACCGATATAACTTATCAAAGAATTTGTTTTTCTAATCGTCCAAATGAATGTTGAATTCTTTAAATAGTTATGTAAGGCAGAATTTTGCAAAAATAAAATTTACATAGTCTTATAATACACCATCTTGTATAATATTACAGAACCCGAACTATCATTCGCTTGTTAGCCGGTCTGATTATGCGGCAGGGATTATCTTAGCGTTCAGTGCTCCCCGAAGAATTTATAGGCATTAAATACGTATCTGGTGCCTACCATAGCGTTATTAGGTGGTTAAAATTAGAGGAGTAATATTTAAGATAGTCAATGAAATGTTAGTTTGTCTGCAATAAAAATATACATATAAGAACTTAGTTGTTAATATTCACAAAGTGAACACTGTTTTCTATATTTTGATACACGATGGGCTGAGTAGCCGTTTGGTTGTGCAAACTTATTCATTTGAAAGAAGGGCCGTCAAAAAAAGTGTGAAAACAGATCAATTGTGGGTGCATTCCTGACATACGAAAGGTATATGGATCGCCCCTAAAACCTATTTCGATATTACGTCTACAGGAAATGGCCATTGGGATAATTAATTAGTCATTGATCATCCATCTCACATGTCAATATGGCAAATTGTTATGTTAATTTATTTCTTACCTTTTACCGTGTCTTTGATACACAATACTTTGACATTCACAACTTCCGGCTACCATATTCATTATGAAGGCCAGCTGACGAACCCAGATATTCTAATATTATTAAATGCCAGATTATTTATATATATTTTTCCAATAAATTCAAGTGTATGACGCCACGATTTTATTGTTCTGAATTCGTCTTATCAATTTTCCCAATATTTTTAACAACATTTTTATTATGTACAAATCCCTCTAATGCGGTAACATTTTATTCGCCTTTATAAAACCCGTACAACGCACGTCATACGCTTTTAATGTTTGAATATAATTGCGGGTTCGTAATGTCAATATCACAGTGAACGACTGTTTCTGGTCAGATTTTGTTTGAACAATGGCGAAATATAAGGTATCTGTGTGAGGTGTAATACAAAGACCACGCATTAGGTTTATCCAATAGAATGTGGTAGTTATGGGCCAGGTTATTCCGGAATGAATTCTGCCTTTGTCGCGCTTTTGGGGGTCGGGGTCGCGCTCTTCGGGGCTGGAGGTCGCGCTCTTAATTAAATCGTTAATACAAAAGCGTCGAACACTTGATGTGTTACCGTCCCATTAGTCGACATTACTACAATTATAATAAATCAAACAATCATTCTTCTAATTAGTGTTGGTTTCGCTTACGAGACAAGAGGACATTTGTTGGTGTTTGTGTTTTATAACTCGATTTCTATCTATTTAGTAGACGTTCGGGGTTAGGGATCGCCCCATTAAATGTGAAAATAACAAACGTCGATACATTATTTGTTATCCTAGTAATTTTCCCATCTGTTCCTGTTTTTATTCTTCTATTCGTCTTAGTTAAGTTAGAATTTGAGTAAAACTCTTAAGACGAATAGGATACTAAAAACAGAAAAATTTAATAAAATTAGTAATAGTGAATAGTGGGGCGAAAACAAGACAGTAACAATTAATTTTCAGAACGCGATCACTAACCCCGAAGAGGTAGAATTCGTTACGGATTTACACCGTGCATAACTACCAAATTCTAACACGGAATTCCTGTATTCGAAACCAACACCAATTGAAGGAATAATTATTTTATTTCGTTTTAATTAATCGCAAGGTTAAATATGGACGCCCATGCACATATAATATTAGGAATGTTCGAAACAAAACCCCTAACTTAACCCTTACTTGATTCTAGTTTATTCTGACCTTACTGAGATAAACGGAATAAAAAAAGAAACGATCGGAAATTATTCTCCATGTTTGTGTTATCTCGATCATTCACAATTCAAACAGAAGAAATGGGATATTTCAAATCGTTTCGAGTATTACTAAAATATACAAGTGCGCATCTAAATTTAAAGTTACAATTATAATAAAATCAAATTAATATTGCCCCGATCAGTGTTGGTTTCGGTTACAAGACTTTTGTATTGGAAGGTTTATATATTTCATCGATATCCGCTTCCTGTTACAGCAAATTCCTCGACCTGTTTGTTGTGTGTGATATTGATTGCACTTCCAAGAGGAACGTCATATGTAAATTTGGCTTGATAGACCTGGCAATAAATCACTTTCTTTTACTGACAAGTTGACAATTGTTTTTGATCCGATGGTATTTACATTGTATAATTTGATTCTGCGGTTTCGTGTCCTATTTTGAATTGAATGAAATTTCAACACATCACACAATACATTTGTATATCGATTAAAATGTGGGTTACGTCTTTGTCCTTCCGATTTTTTTTCTGTCTGGATCTCTGTATGGATTATTTTATATCAAATATATATTTGGCGAGAAAAATGCTAGTGAGGACTTGGAATAAATAGAATATATGATAAAATTATTTTCTACGTTAAAATTCGTTTCGAAGTAAAAAAAATAAATTTTTTATAATTCCTAAATTTTTTTAATTTTAAAATTCTCAGTTCGATGATAGTTTCCAGAGCGTAATGGTAGAAACAACTTTCGCTGCCCAAACCCCGTTGACTCGTAAATCGTACGCTTTTGCATATTGTTAACCAGGTACTCCCGTATTGTGTGTACCAGGTTAGGGTTAGGCCATAATTTTATTCTGATTTTCCTTAGTAGAACAAAATTAGTTACCTCCATATTGGTACACACTCTTCTGGAGCGCCGTGCTCAAACTTTTGCACTGAGTTACACAATCAGTATCCATATGTCGGACATGTTTTAGCGTCATACGTTGTTTATAGTAATCTGACCTTTCTGTTACATCTGAGATTATTATTTATGTGAATGTGCTGCACGAATCCTGAATTAGTAATCAGTTTGCACCTAGATCAGGCTTATTACTCGTTGGACAGCAATTTATCAATATATCGATATTCGGTGTACCAGGTTACGGTTAGGCCATAATATTATTCCGTGGTTCTCTAGATCTTGCGCCTGTAAAGCCGGTAGCTTTAGTGAACATGAGTCTGTTTCTAAGCAAAATTGCAAACGACTCGTAATTTTGAACATTATCAATTCCGATATTATGATGTCACCATACAACTCCCCTTTTTTTGGAGGAATTTCGTATTTCATGTTTTATTACTTATATTCCTCATTTCTTTATTACTACTATAATACTTATTTTTGCGCTCATTACCTATTTAAACTTTACGAAAACCGGATTGCAATTTGCACATATCACTATAGCTATGAATTCATTTAAAGATTTAACAAATAAAGTACTATTTATGCATAATGGGGGAGAATTTAACGAAAAAGTGTTGCGAAAATTTGCTTTAATACTTTGTTATTTTGCAGGTAATTAATATTGATTGAGCATAAATAAGTAGATAAATAGTTTGAAAGTTGACTCCACACGGAGCATTATATCAAAACTTGGACATTTGGATTGTACATATATTCAAAAACAAAACAAAAGAAAGAGCAATAAACAAAAAAAAAACAATAAAAAAAATTGTTTTTGGCTCCGGTGGGGTTCGAACCCAGGAAAATGACTCAGCTAGAAGAAATGTTAGACAATGTATTTGTGGAGCCAGAGGAGTACTCACCTCCTAGCAAAAAAGAAAAGCTCGTTGCAAACTATCGAAAAAGATATCAACTTCTTGATTTTGATGACGTTATCAATCTAAGTGAAGTGATGGAGAAAACTGTACCCGTGGATGGCAAAGGCAATTTCCCGTCGTTAGAAGTTACACCAAGCACCCTTGTACAGGTATGTTGTTTGATATGCTTTGTTTATTGCAGTGGTTCTGAAAATTTTTAAGCCGCGCCTCCTTTTTAAATTTTACAAGTCTTGCGCCCATCAAAAATAAGCTACTAAAAACAGATACGAAGGGCAAAAATATGTTTTATTCAAAAAGTACGTTAAAAGCACGTGGATAGAACGCAAATATCCAAAATAAAGAAATGTAAATATCCAAAATAAGGTGGGTAAGATCTAATATAACAAATATTTTTATTTTGAATTTGCTTCACGCACCCTCCCCCCCCCCCCCACGCCTCTCTTGTGGGGCGCACTCCATCGTTTGGGAACCACTGGTTTTTTGGTTTGCAGTTGTTCCATATGCTTTGTTCATTGTTTTGCAGTTGTTCGATATCCTTTGTTTATTGTTATGCAAGGGGTTGCAGGAGTGGATTCTTATTCCCCGTGACTCATCGCCACTCAAAACCTTGACCCTGGTCCCAGCTAATAAAAACACCAAAACAAAAGTGTATCGTTTGCAAAAGTGCACTCAGTGCATTATGGACCCTTCCTTCCGAGTAAAACGGTTCGATGAAAAATTTTGTATGCGTCTAATGATGCGCACAGAGCTAAGAGTTTATGATAATTTCGGTCATTAAAACAGCAATTAAAGAATTTCCAAATAGTTGTTCAAGGCAACTGTTTGAATTGAGCGATAAAAAGTCCACAAATCAGACGTTATTGCATTATATCGTTACATTAGCGCCCAGGTAAATCGCAGTTTTCTTGTTTTTAAGCTCGTGTAGGATTCGCCTTTTCAAAATTCAGCCGCTTTCCAACTAACTTATGTTTTTGTTTTGTATGATTTTTTTTTAATGGGGGTTTGTGATTCATCTGATGCATTGCTTTGCAAAGGATCTGCGGGGAAGATTCTACTTACCTATGACTCATTCACTTCGAAACTTTAACCCTGATCCCTGTTCTAAAATATTACGAAAAAAAAAATATTGCATTGCTTTGCAAGGGGTTTGCGGAGAGCAGATTCTACTTACCTACCTATGACTCATTCGCTCTTAACGCTGTTTTAAAACATTACAAGAAAAAATAATTGCATCGTTATCCAATCAATCAGTGTTTCTCATTTGTTTTCGATCTCCGATAAGAATCTCTTTTTCGGAAATTGAAACTCGTTCAAATTATATTACTGTGTCTAAAAAATGTGAAAATTCTCTCGCTAACAAATTCTCTTAAATGTTTTTAAATGTTGTTGAATGATTTGCACGAAATGCAGTCGTTCAGCACAATAGATATTGCAAAACAAGAAATTGAAACCGAAAACCAACTGAACGGGTTGAAATGAATATGAAAGGCCTACGATTAGAATATCACACGAGTAAAAATTGCATGAGAATTGGAATTCGTTAGAATTATTAACATTGCAATTTTGAGAAAAAAAATTGAATAGGGCAGTTTCTGTGTTTTATAATTTCATTAATTAGTACTCCAAAGGTTTAAAGAAGAAATTTAGAAAAATTCAAAAAGTCATTAGACCATTCTCCTTAAGTCCTGTTAAGAGTTTTAATTAAGTGCCCACTCTGTATATCTGAAATACTATACTACGTTATCGATCAGTCAATATTAACTAAGGGTTTATACCGCAAGGATATCGCAGCAGTATCGAATGCAGAAATATTTTCCGTTTCGTGGCAAACAAATGACGTTTGTTGTTTTTAGCATTACTCGGGCTTCTACCTCAAATTCCATGATCAAATACAATTGGTTTGCTGTGTTTCTCCGACTTTTGTTTTGATTTGTCGCGATAGACGTGACACGTAAATTTAGGTAGACAAAGAAAACAAATACTATGATGAAGATGTATTGTACGCAACGTAGAACTATGTACTTTACATGCACCGGTTGTACAATATTTTTTCGTGTTTACTTTTTTGTGTCAAATAAATTCTAATGCCTAACGAAATTTTTGTATTGAGATTTTAGAATCGAATTATTATATTTTGAATGCAAAATTTTTTGTTTACATGTTTCGGGTTTTTTAATTTGAATCCCATTTCCCCCAATACATATGAATAATATAATGAAAATTCAAACAAAATACGAATTCATACCATCACCACGATGTCATTAATTTGGTATATTCCATTATTTCTCGTGTTTCATTCAAACTGTTTATCGCATCTCCTAAACTCAAATGTTTTAGCTTTTTAAAGTAAACACTCAATAAAACCGATTAGAAAATTTTTCAAACAATTTTTGAACATTCAAAAGTGAACACTGAATAAAACTGAGTAGAAAATTTAGAACTCCAGACCACCTGTTTTGCAGTAATTTTACAATATCTTGTAACTTAATCGCATAATGTTTAGAATCAGGTATCTTATCGTTATTCATAATCACAAATCGTAGACGTTGTGTTATTATTTATTAATATCGAATACTTATCGGGATACTCCCATTGTATGTATGTGTACCAGGTTAGGGTTAGGCCATCATTTTATTCCGATTTACCTTATTTTAGTTTTATTACGAGTTCGGGGACTGCCTGTGTTAGCCGAGTGAATATATATCCTGCCCATAGGTTCCGTTCCTTTTACGCAACTTGATGTAAAATAAGCGAACAAAATTAGTTACCTCTATATTGGTACACATACTTTTGGAGCCCCATTATCAAAACAAAGCTCGCCCAAAATTGTTTAAATTGTACAATAATACAGTCAAATAAAATTGTAGCACATGGAAGGTGTCTGCTCAAAATTCGTGATCTATTTTTGCCTTCGAATTTCGGTACCTCCATAGTATGTAAACCCAGATGGCGGACACCGAAACGTATTATGTGTACCAGGTTGGGATAAGGCCATAATTTCAGGTACAAGTACTACGGGAGTCAATTGGCCAGTCCCCGAACTTGTAATAGAACTAAAATAAAGAAAAAATTAGAATGAAATTATGACCTTAACCAAACCTGGTACACATACTACGTTCCGGTGTCCGCCATCTTGGTTTGCAAACTACAGGAGTACCCAAATTTCATGTGATTTTTAAGTCTACATCATGGGTGGGCGTCGCATACCGATTGTCGTGGACCAAATATTTTTTCTTAGCATTCTGCCTATTTTACTTAAGTTTGCATAAGTCTCATATAACAAACCGAATGCTGCCTATCATATCACCCCATTAACTTAGAATCGTGGTTATATATAGCGGATAAGAATGCAAGGCAAACGTTAAATATTCGGCTATCACTTTAAATGATTAGAAGTAGCATTTGGTGACTTTCCATGTGATAATGTGTATATAAAACTATAGCTTAATTAAACAAATAAAGAGGAAATTCGGAAAAATTAATTGACAGTAGAGTAGAACCATAACCAAGCAAATTACGCTCACCGCCACACAATATGTGCAAGCGTCATTGCTTATTCAGCGCATGTAATTCCATTGCTTCATGTAATTGCCGTGCGAGAGACTGTTCCTCATCTATTCGATTTGCCATAACATATGTATCCTAATTCACTAATAATAGGAACTTGAACGTCATCTAGTATTTTTAAGCTACCCATATCGAGCAGGGGTGTGCAACCTGGGGCCCGCGGGCCAACGCATCTCGTAATATCGATAATTGAAATTTTTTTGTGCTTGCAACTACTTCAAAGCCTATGTTAAATAAAGTCGCGGGCCCGCGGTTTCCCCAGTTATTTGAATGTGGCCATCCTCTATTAAAAGTTACACATCCCTGATATAGAGTGTTTCCAATTGTTTCCAAATGAGTAATATATTACAGCACAGGGCGGGAAGTAATTCAGTAACAACACGCGGCTAATTATTCCATCTTCCGGCAACCGTCGATTACTATGCGTAGGCCGCATGCTTTCCAAAATAAAAATATCTATTCTCCGACACATAATTAAGCTTATGTAACAATATCAATTCTCTTATGTGATATCAATAAGAAATATCAATTCTCTTATGTGATATCAATAAGAAATATCAATTCTCTTATGTGATATCAATAAGAAATATCAATTCTCTTATGTGATATCAATAAGAAATATCAATTCCTCTTATGTAACATAAACATTAATTATACCGAGATAATCATTCGAAGCTTACCACCATATTGGTACATACACTTTTGGAGCGCCGACTTGTTTTGATTTTCAGATGATGTGTTGAGCAAGGAGGTTAAAAAAATACGTTTCTTTGCAAATTTAATCAAATTAATTTATTTTTGTAAATTTAATCAAAATTTTGCTTTTTTCAGATGGTGCGCGATGGCCTGACGAAAGAAGGAATTCGGGTCCCTAATGTTCGCCTGAACGGCAGCGCAGCGACTCATGTTTTGAGCGCCGACGGTAAACACAGCTACAAGGATTTGGATCTCATATTCGCTGTAGATATGTCGCAATACAACGAATTTTGCACTTGTGGTTCGAGTCCAATCGACCTCAACAACAATGCAACCATTAACAACACGTATTGTCGCACCAAGGCGCATAAAACAAGCAGCAAAAGACATCCGGCATCTCAAAAATCAGATCTCAGAACCGCAGAGTCAAATTCAGTTTCAGAAAATGGCACAATCAATGAGATACAAGTCTCGAACGAAGATCTCTCTTTTGTCGCAACTGATGATACTCTGGATTCTGAACTTTCTGGCTCGAAAACACCAGACAGCAGTGACTCATCTCCCTGTTCCAACTCCCCAGCGACAGTTCAAGACAAAGCTGATTTTGAGGTCGATCTCGAAGATTGCGCAGACAAAGACAGCGGGTAAGATTTCAGTTTGGCAAAGTTTTATTTAAAAAATAGAATTTAACGATAACAACACAGATAACAAGGATTCAAACGTATATTGAGCGACCATACGAACGGTAGCTGTGCTCAATAATTTATATATTGTCTTTCAGTTCGCATACTTTGCTGTTATCGCCAAACAATTTCGTCCCGAAATTTGATTTTCTTGATTCTGTTTGTCAACGTATCCTAGCCGGGGTAGATTCTCCCCAGTAGGAAACTTTGTCTCTCTTGGCGAGGAATTTTGCTCAGTATAAAACTGTACAAAAGCGAGAGCGCGTCTTGCGCACAACACTGTCAAACGACCCATTGCATATTGAACAAAAAAAGCTCTTTTTGTGTAAAGTGAGGGAGAAATAAAGAGTTCCGAAATAGGCTAAGTGAGGGAAATATCAAAAAGCTTGGGAACCACTGTGTCAGGCTTTTTGCCCCCCTTCAAACTAATCCCAACCCAATCCAAGATAAACATAGTAAAACTGGAAAACCGATCAAAATGTGTGATGGTGGAATAACAGGATATAGTATCATTTCTAGTTATTAGTATTTGTTATAGGAAGTTTCACTCTTGCTAAACACAATGAAGTATCCTGTTACAGTTGTTTCAAAAATTTAAATTCTAGCGTTCAATAACATAGTCTTACAATCATTTTTGATTATTTTTAACATATTGAATTGTCTTTCGAAACACTATCGGATCAAACATTAATCACCCGGGCCATATGATTTGGTTGATCTGAATGAATCGAAGCAATTTAAAATTATTTAATGGTTCATGTCTACTTTGAAATGAAACAAATTTTGGTGCTCCCGAAGTATTCGTACCAAGATGGCACACAAGCTGAACATAGTAAGTGTACCAGGTTAGGGTTGTTCAGGTCGTGCGTCATGTTGGTACGAATACTTCCGGAGCGCCCAAATTTTAATTTATCCAAATGAATTTCTCGGTACAAATACTGCACGAGAGAGAACCGTCGTTTCCATTCACAAATATAATTAAATGTGATTTTTCTGCTTCATTTTGATACGTACTTGGTCATTTGTATGTATGCGCGCATTCTATCATGTATTTAGCATTGTAAAGCACACGTAATCGTATAAAATTACTAGAAGATTAGCAGGATAAAATCCACATATGATGGGGGGTCGTAAAACACAGTGTGTCCAAATCGTCAATTTTCACTTCATTGGCAGTGAAGTGAATTTGATATGAAGAAATTCAAAACTCAAGAAAAGATTAAAAATTGAATACTTTGTTTATCTCAAGATATTTTTCACTTTCGGGTTAAAGGTTATTTCGTTTGTTTCCAGATACACGAGCAGTGGGTCATCAGTTGCAAGTCTTCCGGTATCCCCCGCAGGGTCATGGAGCTACCAAAACGCCATTCGATCCCGAACTCATTCGCTTGATTCGTCGTCTTCTATCACGTCGACCTCGTCGTCTGGACAACATGTGTTACGGAATAAAGAAAATGGTCATTATCTGGACGTACATGCATCAGCCCGCAATACCCCGGTTAGAAAATTGTTCTCAAAGGCACACGCGCACCAAGTAAGCACGTTTATTGTTAAAAGGACTTCAAATTTTGATACCTATTTCTATAACAACGTCGAGAGCGTTCGAAAAATTCCCATTTTTGCTTATCCTGCCCAATTGTTGAATTCGAGAATTTTGAGGCGCGTCTGAAAACATAGATGGCAAAAACTCATTTTAATTTCGATGTTACATTTGTATATTAAAAGCAATTGTTCTTCATATTTCACATTGCGTATTTCCCTTTCAAAATAAAAAAAAATGCTGTTGTGCCTTGTTTTGCCATGTTATATGTTCAACAATGGTTTATTTTACCCAACATAAATTTATTTTCATCTTATTTTCACACAGGAATGCTGCGTCCGGTCTAAAGAACTTTGCTGGCGGAAGATCAAAGATGTTGTCATAGGGATATTACGTGACCTTCTTCCGGCCCGGGTCAACAAGACACGCATGACTGACGCTGTATTAGCGGATGCATATGTACAGAAAATGGTCAAAATCACTAACGATGTCGATAGATGGAGCCTGTTCTCGCTGAATAATAATGATGGTAAATATCTGTTATGTTTATGTACTGTAACGAATTAATGTAGTTAATTTACTGGAGTTTGAACTGTGACCTACACTTGATCACTGACATTCGACTGTATTCCTGGATGTATGAGTAAAATATCTGATTATTTTGAGTAGGGGGCGAGAAACAAATTTTTTTTAACATTTAGCGCGTTAATAAGTATCATATCTTGACACTAGCTTGTCAGAGTCTGTATTACATTAAAAGCATTTTGCAAAGTTTTAACAGGCTAGAGTCAAAATAAATTTCCGTAAATGTAGTCATCGGGTACTGGAAACGGGATCATACCGCGTCAATGTAGTAGAAACCCGGTACGATATACTTCGGCACCAGGTATGAAAACTGAAAATCCGTATCATGTGGTCTAGGCTTAGCCTGTATTAAATATATTAGAGGCATTTTGCATAGTTTTAACAAGCTATTACCGAAATAAATTCCCATAAAGTAAACCTACATCAGGTACTGGAATCACCGACGCATATACCTTGATGAGTCACGATTATTATTTTAAGGCGCACATTCATGGCAGTTTTCGAATCTGTTTTATCCATATCTTACACGTCATATTTGTCGCTATTTCTGGTCTTTATTTACATGATAGGTGTGACGTCACTATAATAATAATTATAAGTGTGATGTTAAATAGTTGCAAAACAAATCAATCAAATATTTTAATCATCGCATCCATTTACGAACGAAATAGCGTAGTAACCGGCGTTTTAATTCAGCATGCGTCTTCACTCATTGTCCGTACTCAGCAATCCATTGGCGACAGAACACGATCTAAGGGACCAAACATACGTTAACAATCCCAGCAGTTTTAAACGATATATATATAGTTACCTGCGATTGAATTCAGTGGGTGTTTTTTCAACTTGTGCTTATACAGTGTTTTTATTCACTGGCCACACCTTTAGAGTAGATAAATACGATGCGAAAATGAATTGGCTGATTTTAAAGTAATCTGCGCCAACGAACAATTCATTACACATTATGCTGCTCAAGGAAGAAAATGCTTCAGTGTACCCAAACGATTTTGCTAAATTTTCATCACTTGGTTGATAGTCGAAATAAATTCACCCCAGACATTTTACGTTTGGTCAAATAATTTTAAGTCTAGCCAGTTTCCATTCCCGAATTCAATAACCACACTTCGATGTTATAGATTTTTGGTCGCAACTGAAAAGTATTCCATGCGATACAATCATTTTAGAAAACCCGCGAAGGCTCATTATATACTGCCCAACTTTACCCCTCATTTGGCCCAAATAGTTAAGCTATACCAGTTTAATCAAAATAATTTAGTTAGAGAGAAAAATAAAATACCAATTTTTCATATTAAAATAATATTCGGAATGTTTTGAGAATTTACGATATTTAATTCAATGATTAATTCATTTAAACGGCTTCTCGATATGTCAACAAATACTAATAATATATATATTTTCCGTGAAGACATATTTGACCAGTCAATACCAATTAAGAACATATCCGCATGTATATTACTCTTCCCCGTTATTGGATTAAAATGTCTTATTATACGTCTGTCTTCATTTGCTAGTGTAGGTTATTTGTGTTCGTTTATAATGAAAAATAGGAGAAATAAATTGTTTGCTGTATTTGTTTTTAATTTTTTACTCAAACGTGTTGGAAAATTACTATTTCTGGAGAAAGATTAGATTAACTAGTTGTTTCACTGCCCGTCGTCATCGAATTTCTTCGTCTAAAGATAAAATACTTTGATTTGTTTAGATTTCTTTGGCTCTCACAGCAAAATTTGCATTAGTACGCTTTCAAAAATAAAATCTGTTTTATTTGACCATCTTTAAAACTAAAATCGTAAATAACAAAATTAACACCGGATTTCACTGTTCTTGTGTCATCCTACCACGATTCTTTAAGAAATTCTCAAACAAGCGCAATCTTGCCAAAACTACAAAATATCGAATCTTATACTCTAGTGACCATAATGACGTAGAAAGTTATTTATTCACGCCACATTTCAATTAATCAAATAATAATTATTCGGGTGCATAAGTGTAAACATAGACGAAACAGCAAAGCAGGACAGAGTTCCTGTACTTCCTATTTTGATCGGCTGGCTGTGACCATCAACTGTATCGTTTAATTTAGAACTCGTGTGTCCCAATTTTAGAAGCCAAATTTTTTTAATCGCTTCATGACGCAGTCATGTGATAAGCAATGACTTAATAATCATATTTACCTGACGTCATGTACCATCAGAAATGACGTCAATTTTGATCTTGTTTTTATCAAATTATATTTTTATATAGGTCACGCCACAAAAAAAACAAAATTTCAATTTTTAAATTAATTTAAAACGATTTTGTGACATGTGGTTTTCACTCTTACTTGCATACAAATTAGGGACGAACTAACGATAAATGCGAGAAATAGAGGATTCATATTTCGCAGACTGAGGCATTTTGCATAATTCATGTGCGTTTCTGTCGCTTTAACACGGGATTAAATCATGGCGATACGTGCCAAAATAGCGATTTTTATCGATTCCTATTGATGAGAGAGAATATTCTAAAAATAGGATTCATTTGACCTGATAAAAATACACTGGAATCGCTTGGTTTTTGGTTTTGAAGATGATATATTGTATTTTGTAAATATGTTAGAAAAACCTTTTGAAAATATGCAATATCGAAAAAATAAACAGTACTTTTCTATCGTTAGTGTCTTCAAATTGCCCATAAACAAATATGCGAATAATCGGCAATAAATATACTTGGATCTTTAAAAATACACTCTGAAAATACTTTTGAAATTTGGTACTCGAAATGAAAGAGGCATGCGGAAATGATTCGATATCACAAAAATAATGAGTTTTTCTAGTATTGATATCTTTAAAACACCCATAAAGATACATGAGAATCATCAGCGTTAAATTTATTGGTAATTGCTTGGCATTTATATTTCAAAATGAATTCTGAAAAAGTTTGAAATTCGGAAAAAATGCCCGTCTTCAATATGAAATGAAAAAAGCATGTGAAAATTATTTGATACCAAGGAAACAAATAATTTTTTTCTTGTATATTCGAAATTCCCATGAACATCTGTGCGAATATTCTGCGTTAAATATAATGGAATCGCTCGGTATTTATTTTTCAAATTATAAAAAATAAATTATAAAAAAGTTGGAAATTTTGGGGAAAATTCCGTCTTCAGAATGAAAAATTATGTGAAAACTAATCGATACCACAAAAATAAACAGTTTCCATTCTTTAGTAGTAGCATCTTCGAAATCGCCTATAAACGCATATGTGTAAAATCAACATTAAATTAACACATTCTTGATCGAAGCATTATTGACTGAAGTTAAGTAGAAGCGATTTTTTATCATCGTATCCATTGTAGACTTTTTGTTGCCCTTACTGTACCAGACATGAGGCTAAGGACGAGGCTATTTGTCGAACTATATCGGTTATGTAAATGTCCTTCATTTCAAAAGCCCTTGTACAACCCGGATACGGCAGTCTTTTCAATTGTAGCCGGTGAAGCACCGAAAAGCAATACTTGAGTTTTGAAATTATGTTTATAAAATATTTCTCCTTAGTTGTATAAAAAAAATTGTAAATTTAAGTGGCATTTCCTTGTAGTTTGTAATTCCTTGTAAAATATTTCTCCCTAAAATGTGTAAAAATAATTGTAAATTTAATGATATTTTGTTGTAGTTTCTTGTAAAGCACGTAATATACAAGGTACTCTGTTGTATAGCATTGTAGAATTATCTGACAGAAATAGCCGCAATCTGCTGTGATCAGACATCAATATTTCAATAGTCTTTGTGCCTTATCAACCTTAATAGTTATGCGTGCAAGTTATCTGTATACAATATTACCATATCACCACCTGCTTTGTAGTTCAAGGGCCATCCAAATTCCCGGCTCTGATTTTCCAAAAAATCACAACAGTTATATATATGCCAAACTATGCTAAAAGCACTTCGGGTCAAAAGGGGACTGTGAAAATGTGTCCAAATAAGTATCTGTAATCTTGGACCCGGGTTGGATTTGGTCCAATGGTAGTTAACGTGGTTGTAACCATTGTTATAGTTTCATCCATAACAAGGAACACAAAATCGGTCAGAAAATTCGGTAATTTGAATTTTTGGCGCACGACCAAAAATATATTAAATAAAATTTAAATTAGTTAGCAGTAATCTTCTTTGTATTGTGTTATTTGTACATTAATAAGGGTTAATATTGAAGTGAAAAAAAACATAGGTCCTATTTAATGAGAATGAAATCTTTTACTTCGCGTTGGTTTCTGTTTCGTTCCGTCCCATTTTGAGGCGAATTTCAAATATGAGTTCGCTACCGCATCCTGTGTGCGTTTGTTACTATTAAACGTGCTTTTGTGGCCTTGGGGAAACACTTGAATAAAATTGAATCAACTTTTACGTTTTACAAGGTGTCGGGGTGGATTTATTATTGTTGAATGTTTACCTACAGAGTCTTACTTAGAAAAACTTGAAAGCTGTGAACTCGAACAGGATGGAAATCCAGTTCTAAAATGTAGAATCGTGACGGTTTTTTATCTCGTCAAACAAGACTTAAAAATCCTAAATTGTGACCTGAGAACATGAGAATTTAGTCATGTGGGTTAGCTGTGTGGCTACGTGTATGACAAAACGCGATTTCAGTGCAACTAAATTCTATATTAGATAAATCAAAACTTTTAATTAATTTAAAATACCACATACTTATGCATTTCATACACAACAAACAGCTTTAAAACGTGCTGAATAAACAGTGCAAAGACGGGCTCCGAACACGAGCTAAGCTGAGCCGAGCAACATTTCTCTTACGAATTAGCATAAGTCTAGTAATCCCACAGAAGCATTAAAAACCAACCGGCAAGATTAAATTGTACATTCGTGCTGAATAGCCGTTTTGTTTGAATAATAATCCTCAATATTTTTTCATAACAGTTTTCAAAACTTT